GATCCCATCGGAGCCGCCTCCCTCCCTCCCCTCCCGGCAGGATGAGCTCCAGTGCCACCTCCTGGCTCAGCCTCCCCAAAACCCTCCCGCGGCTGCGGCAGGAAGGGCCCGGGCTGAGCTGCAGCCCCTGGGGAAGGATTTCTGCGCAGGGTGGGAAAAGCCCCGAGCTGTGCCAGCCCCAGATCCCGGGAATTAATCTGCTGGAATTCATTCAAACCACCGGGTCCATCTGCTGGGACAATCCCATAGTATTCCTGGATTTTTTTCTTTCCCTGAACAGCAGGCAGTGGATGGATTATGGAATGTAAATTAAAATCCACGAGCGTGGTAAAATCCCGTTGTTTTCTGGGAGCAACAAAGGGCTTCAGTTTTCACGGAGCACGAGACAACGTTTCGGGCCAAGTGGGAATTTTCCTATGGATTAGCAACTCTTAGATTCCCAAACATTTGCTTCCCAAGAGCAAGGGGCACGTCAGGGTGCCCTGGTGTGTCCTGCCACACTCCCAGGTTTCCTTTGGGAATCGTTTCCCTGCGCCTGGAAGGGGCAGTTCCACACTCCCAACGCGCTTCCCTGGTGCTCCCTCTTCCCAAGGCTCGGGATCTCCTCTCCCCTGGCCCCTGGGAATGGGGTCATGGTGCAGCTCATCCCAAATCCAGCCTCTCTGGGCTGCCCTTGGAGCTTTTCCTCCCTCCAGGTGCTGCGGGAAAGGGCCCAGAGGGAACTTCGCCCAAGGAGTCCCAGGGTTACCCAAGATCCAGGTTTGGAGACCTTTGCACTGTTAATGACATCCAAGGCTCAGGAGAAATCTGACCCCCCCGTGCCTGGGCTGCCTGGGCAGGAGTCCTTTTTCAGGCTGAACTAATTTTATGTCCCAATATCCCGGGATATCTCCAGGGGAACTCTGTCCATGCTCTTCCCTGTGCACCCGAACCCGCCGGGAGCGCGCCGGGACAGGAGGGGAGATTTCCCAAGGGATATTTGTGGAATTCCCTGCTTTTTGTAGCTTCAGCTGAACCACAAGGAGGTGCCTGATTCTCATCTCCTTTATTGGAATATTTGCCATCCACTGACTGAAAAACCTCGGGGAGGAAATTGGGCAGAAAATGTAAAAAGAAGGGAAAAGGGAATTGATGGTCCTGGACCGGGAATGACCCGGAGCTCCCTTCCACAATTCCAGGCAGGGCTCTCAGTTCCACATCTCCAGAACAAGGATATTTACTGACCTGACCATAATACACTGAATTTAATCACAGGGCAGCTCAAGGAACCACCACTGGAAAACCTTTAAACAGCAAGTTCTCCTTCACAACAGCCCTTTCCTAACGAATTTCCTGCTCCATCCCAGTTGTTTACCTGGTAATTAAGGCATTAAATAATTCTCCCAGGCTGCAGGAGAGGTTTAAACAGGGAGATGAAAACATTCCAGTGTTTTATAGGGAAAGTCCACAAACACTTCGATTCATGGCCCTGCTTCGGGTCGCTCGGGGAAAAGGCTCCTTTGAGTTGAGCTTTTTCTTTGGAAAAGCAAAAACTTGGGAAGTGTTTTGCAATCTGTTGTCTCAGCCTCTGGTTTTGCAAGCCCTGAGCTGTGCCAGTGCCCAGCCCCGGGACTGTTCTGCAAGGCACAAACAGGGCACATCCCAGAGCTTTTAACTCCTGATTTCCCCGGGAACCTGCAGGACAAATGAGGACAAAGTGACCTCCCGCCAGCAGCTGCCCCTGGACTGTCCTTCCCAGGAAAACTGAGGGTAAAACTGCAGAACTGAGGCTGTGAACAGCAGCAAACCCCAGGTTTGTTCAGGTCAAACCAGCAGAAAGTCCTCAAAAGCCACAAGTGCAGCTCCTCACCCGTTTCCAGCTCAGGGTCACAGGGGGTTGTCACAGTTTGGCTGCTCGGGGGGTCCCTCTGTCCATTCCTCGGATTTCTGGCTGCACCAGCTCTCAGGAGAAATGAATTTAAAAAAGCAGAAAGTGGGACAATGTGAGCTCCCCCCACTGCCCACCCCCCTTCTCCTGATGAAAATCCAGCCCAACTTTGCCTGCAGGATGATTTTTAGGAGTGACAAAACCAGGGGGAATTCAGGTCCCACTTCCCAGGACATCCAACCCAGCCCCAAAACTGGGGGGTTTCTCTTTGCTCTTCTCCAAAGCAGCATTTTAGCAACAAAAATCAACCCTTTGTCACTAAATCGTGCGAATCTGACCCAAAACATCCCGTGTGGTTTGTCAGCACGGGGCAGGGAGGAGGGAACACATTCCTGAACACATTCCTTGGCCGTGCCCAAGGTGTGCAACGATGCAAATTTGGGAATGAAGGAGCCACAGCAAATCCCAGCCTGGAATTCCCTGCCTTTCCCAACACCCATTTTCCTCTCCTTGCTGGAATTTGTCCCTCAGGAGAGACCCCACTGCACAATCCCAGCTTTTGGGGGTGTCCCAGAGGAGCAGGAGAAGCTGCTGCCATCGTGTCACATCGTGCCAGACTGGGAAGAGGGTTGGACAGTTTAATCTTCTTCCACAGAAAGGAAGTTCATCATTCTCAGAAGAAAAAAAAAAACAACAAAAACCAAGTTATACCATGACCATGGACTAAAGAATAGAAAACAAACTGTCCCAGATGTTAGAATTCTGAATAGCAGCCTAATACTGTAAATTTATTGAGAAGAAAATCATTTTGCAAAACTGGAATACAATTGATTTACCAAGATTTTTCTGTTTGTTTGTTTTCTTTTGTTTTTTTTTTAAGCATTTAAAAATCATTTAATAACAGGCCTGACCATAAAATAGTGGCACAACAGAAATGCAGGTTGCAAATGTGATGTGGAATGCACAGAACCCCCAGGGTGGACCAGGCACAGGAAACACAACAGTTTCAATCAGCAGTGGAAATTCAAAACTCACTCTCATAATTGACTTTTTCTTTCAGAAGGTAAGAGGGGTGGGTATAAATATTATAGAGAAAACATTTAAAAAGCATTGTTTCGTTATTTTTTTCCTTTCAGAAATGCTGGGAGGGGTTTCAGCTCAGTCAAAAACGAGTTGGTTGGGCCCAAACTGCCCTTCCTGGTTCCTGAAGTTTCCTATGTCATGGAAAACCCAACGTGAGTGGCAGAAAATGGTGAAAAAACCATCAGCTGAGGAGCTGTTTCTCAGCAGAGGATTCGGTGTCTCACACACAGCCCTTGGGGAGGAATCCCACCATCCCTGCTGTCCTGGAGAACAATCCCCTCGGGCACAACCCCGAGGTTATCCCTCCCCTCTGCCCAAGAGGATCTCTGGATGTGGAGTCGGGTGGGAAAAGCAGCACAAAGAGGGGGAATTTCAAGGAAAAGGGGATTTACAGTACAGTGCTTGGGCTCTGTCCTCGTGGAGAGGGAGCAGCCCCTGGATTGCAGGAATGAGCTCCCTGGATTGCAGGAATGAGCTACATTGGGGTCTGGCTGGGGAGGAACCAAACCTGGGGAGCAGCAGCTGCCCCCTGGTCACACAGACACAGTCCTGCCCTGGGCCTGGCACATTCCCACTCCTGTCCTCCCAGGATCATCAAACAGGGAGTCAGTTCCCAACCCTAAAACTCAGCATTTGCCAAAAACGTGCCTCTGACCCTCAGGGACCGTCCCGGTTCTCCTGCAGGTTCTGGATGGGATGGAGGATGGGATGGAGGGTGGGATGAGGATGGGATGGAGGGTGGGATGGAGGGTGGGATGGAGGGTGGGATGGAGG